AAACCATACGACCATAAAAGAGATGCTTGTGAAAACCCCCCATCCACCCCCCCCCCCCCCCCCCCTCTTTTGTAGGTTTTTTATAAAAAAAAAAATAAAAATTTTTTTTTTTTTTTTTTTTTTTTCCGTAGACGATAAAACAGCGGCACCTGTCAGTTTCAGTAACGGTTTGTTTTTCCCTCGTAAGCATTTTGAGGCAACTTTAGTGATGGTTAGGGTCTATGGTTACGACATATGACATCATAATGAGGAGATGATCAAGCAATTTTTGAATACAAATTCATGTTCTTCAACTTCATTCAACAATAGAAGTAAAGCTGGTGGATGAAATGACACAAAGTGCTTATTTATGTTATTTTACATGTCAAGCAAAAAAAATCCATTTATCGCGGTTTTAACCTCATTTCTAATTCTAGGTAAAATCCAAGATGGCGACCATTGTTGATGATGTCACAGGCCTCCAGTAGCGCCATCACTCATAAATTATACCCCATCTTGTTGAGAAGATCAAAGGCTTTCCACTGAAGGCAAAAACGTTTTGAAATAGTGCAACTTAGCAAAAACTCTGGGGAAGGGTTCCACACTGAAATTGTCATAAACTCCATGTCATTAATTAAATAACTTCTCACCTTCACATCTGACCTTGTTAGCTCTTTGGTTCCAGTTCCCACCCTTCCCGCACTGAGTTGATGAGGGACCGCTGAGTCGGTGACCACGGGCACAAGAAAAGGAACAAGTTGATCCATAGGCTTGATTGGACGAGCGGCAGTTGGAAGGAGACACGAGCACACCACTTCTTAAGAAAAGCTTTGGGCATTTATTATCTGAAATAGAGATCATAGAAAAGCTTACCAATCGGATTTTAAGCTACAGCACAGTACCTGTTATAATTGTTAACTTTCAGGATTATCCTTGTGTAGTCTAAAGGCTTCATAGCATAACTACTCTTATGATACAGAAAAAATATTCTTCAACACCAACAATTTGATGAACGTTTAGCAGAGCCTTCAAAACACATCGGGATTTCTTCATCAGTGATGACGCTTGCTATTATTCGTAGCCTCGTCTTGACTGCCATGTCTGACCAAATTTGATACAGCAATCATTGACTACTAATACAATCATTAAACAATTGATGTTTCGCGTGACATCTCACAAAGACGCGACGTGGTGACTTGAGAATATGGCTAGAGAAAATCATAAGGAATAGCAAAGACTCGATGGCCGAATTGCTATTTTGTCTATTTTAAGAATATCTACAAAAAGCAGCAACAGCATTTGTTCACATCCTAAAACCCTGATTGACTGGTTAATCTTATAAAGAATATTTGCGCAAAGACAAATGATTTTTAGTCTTTTGTGATTCACTTATATTTTCCTTTTGCATTGTATTAGACGTAGACAGGCTAAAGTGGCCGAGTATGAATGAAAACTTGAGCTTCTTGTCGTAAATTGCCCAAAAACCGACTTGCAAGAAAAAAAAAACACAGAAAAACTAAATCGTTCCCTAAAGTGATGCGTGTACAATCCGACTAGATATTTATAAAGTAGATTAAGTTTGATCGTCCGGGTGAATGTAGTCCTGAATAGGACTGTTGTTGTTGACAGTGACTGACGTTTCGACAACCTGTGCGGTAGTCATCTCAGAGTCAAAGTGAGTTGTATCACGTCAGTTGATGGTATTATACTCTGGTTATTGATCTGATTGGTCAATTACGTCGCGATGTTATTGGTCGTCCGTCAGTTAAGTCGTGATGTTACTGGCTATATGAAGATTCGTAAGCAGTAATTGGTGCGTTTCGATCCGTCTATTGTCACAATTTAACAGTCGTCTATTGTTAGTCAAATTGTCAGTTCTCCAGTCGTTCTCTCGTAGTCAGTTTTGCTTGATCTCGTCAATAAGTCGTTTTTACGGCGCTGGTAACTGTTGGCTACGATTCAGTGGCGTTTGTTCTAAGTTAGTAAAGCAGCTTTCTAAAGTAAGACGTTGATAGTAGTCTGTAGAATACGTTATACATGTCACAGAGTCCCAGTCGTGATACAACTCACTTTGGCTCTGAAGATGACTACCGCACAGGTTGTCGAAACGTCAGTCACTGTCAACAACAATGTGACGATATTGCATTATCCAATCAGATTTTAGTATTTACATGTGCGCGCTCGGGCTCGCTTTGTCACAGTTTACTGTCATGGCCGCTTGTGAGTTCACTATGTTCTGATTAAACAAGTTGAAGTTTAANAACTCACTTTGGCTCTGAAGATGACTACCGCACAGGTTGTCGAAACGTCAGTCACTGTCAACAACAATGTGACGATATTGCATTATCCAATCAGATTTTAGTATTTACATGTGCGCGCTCGGGCTCGCTTTGTCACAGTTTACTGTCATGGCCGCTTGTGAGTTCACTATGTTCTGATTAAACAAGTTGAAGTTTAAGAACGCGAGCCAATTCTTTATAAACAACATTCCTGTTCAGGACTACGTTCGTTTACTTTTGAAATGACTCCTGGGTTCAAACCTTTCACAGTTTTAGATATTTATATTTGCCTTCCTTTCCCACGATATCGCATTTCAAGCTGAAGTGTTAATATTCACGAACAAACATAAATAAAGGGACGCTAAATTCATATTTTGGAAAGTTTTATTAGAATTTCGATACGTTTATCTTAACAAGCCATTCGGGTTTCACTTACCGCCTCAGGAAGTAGTCCACAGAAATATGTTCAAGCATATGCAAACTTCAAGTCACAAATCTGTGATTGGGAACGTTTAACAGTATTTTCTCAGCAGCTACAACAAGCGCCTTGGATACCTGAAAATTCTTCAGGGACGTTACCTGAATTTCTTCAGTTCTAATACCGAAGCAGCACAAGACGGTCGCGATGAAGTAGATATAAAAGAAGCAAAAGGTTTTGGTTCTATCAAAGAGCATGCGCTGTGAGGCCCAAATAGCCAGATTTTGCCTACTCCGGCGCAGAGTTTCCCAGAGCTTAAGTGTGCTTCCCAAACCCGTAAGCACTGGGGTCGAGAATGAACCCGACTTAATCGATGATTTCACACCAAAAAACACAGGAATACATCAAAGGTAAGTCTCCTTCATTTATTTTATAGGAAAATAAGTAGGAATAATGATATTTAGCGTTCGCAGACCTCAGTATTTTATTTATCATACAAAGTCTCAACGGTTGCTTGTAATGCCACACCGACTCTCTTGTGAGAAAGTTAATTTACATAACACACTCAAAACGTGAGCTTGGGCGCCTGTGGTTTTAATCCACTGTTTCCTTTCACCGCTCCTTTACGAGCAAGTACAAATACATCGACGATACTCGATACATTGAAAACGTATTTATACAACCACATCAAACTGAACCGTAAGGCTACAAAAGGGAAAATAGAATCCACGCGAAAGCATCGACACTTGGGCTCAAAATTTTGTGACCGACTAACCACAACTTAGTCACGTGATCAAAAAGAAAGAAAATACGTTAACATGATTAAAATTCACGAGAAAAAGACACGACAATATGAGTCTTTGGACTGGTTTATTGTATTTTTGAAAAAGTTACTGGCCGAATAGACCTCTTCTGCCATTTTTTTGTTTCGTTCTCCAGTGTACAAAATATAAAAACGAAGAGTAAAACCAAAGTAATAACAAGTAAAAATGATCAATGTAGACAAAAAAAAAAAAGACTTTTCGGAGTCATCGCAACTTCATTCTCGCGACCACAAGTAACTACACGCCAACAGGTGTTCACTGGGCTGCCATAACTGAACAGAAATACGGTCAGGTGGTATTTTAGATGATTAAAATTTTTCATCTTTTGACACTGCTTAAAGTTTGTGAGTTAACATCTAACAATCATAGTAGCTTATGTAAAACATATGTAAGACGGCCAAAAACGGTCGACACAAGAACGACAGATTGAGCTTAAGATTTACGAAATTATTTCAATGAAGACAGAAAAAACGGGAATAACGAGCTGCGAGTAACACAAATGTTATTGATAACTAAACGTGCACGTCTTTAGGGAACTTGTCTTGAGGAGTGATACTCTTAAGGCAAAGCAACTGAGCCAACTGAATTTATTGAGCAAATGGTTATCAATTTATAATAGATTTCAGGAAATTATAAAAATAGCTGCAAACTAAATAAGGATTATATGTGACTTTACTACCCGAAAATACAGGATTTACATGAAGGAGAAGGGTGTTTACCCTCCTACATCACAGGAAATAGGTCAGGGAAACATGTGGAAATAATAGAAACATCTAGGAATAAGGTGTATAAGGAAATAGAGAAATCTAGGTAAACAACCAATTAATAATTATTAGGAAAATGAAAATAATTTGAAGAATAATTGGAACTAAGAAAATAAAATAAACTTTAAATGAATTAAAGTGACCAAGTCACGTGACTAAGTCACACATATTCAAATTTCGGTTCTTTTAATTAAAAACGTATTTTTAGATAAACATTGTATTATGATAAAAAAAATTTAACTTTCTTCACTCTTTAATATTTTTTTAATGACAGGCCGGGGTATGCCATGATTAGAATAAACAAATTTGAAATTCTATTCTGTTACCTTTGATTTCACAAATGTATGGTAAACTAGATGAACAAGGTCCATCATTCCACTCCCAATTGTGGCTTGCAGGCCAGATCATACCGCAACCTTCATTCTCCCCAACATTGTTGGGTTCTCCTGTACGCCAGTTAGTATACGTTGCTCGGGTACCATCAACCCATAACCAGCGTGAGGTATCCTTGGGGTCCCTGTGAAGCCCCATCCATACGGTGTTCGATATTTTGTGGGAGAGTGCTTGTTGTTCACCCTGTGATTTCACCATGGCAAGCGTCGAACCCAGTTTTTCACAGGCTTTTTTGGCTGCGTTCCAACTTAATTGGCTGGAGACGATTTTATAACATGAACCTTGTAGGTTGATCCAGTTATTTAGACATGCTCCTTTAAATAGAAGGATAAAAGTGCAGTATCAGCAATGAATCCACAACAGTAATAATAATATTATGTTCTTGTTAACTTTGAAGACGGTTTTTAACTGAACCTATCGGCTGAACAATTTTGCTGAGTATGACAAAGACGGCTGAATCTGAAATGTCTACAGTGTAAACCTAACTCTTTTCGCCCATTGCATCTGAAATACATAAGTTATTAATTCCAGCTTAAAAAAATCAAAGAATATTTTTTTTTAATTCCATTTGTTATTCCAAAGTACAACAATTACAATTATTATCACAAAGCATACATGTACAAACGGACTACACACCTAAGTACACGTGCAATTCCACAATCACCACACAAGGTATGCCGACTGTTATTTTACAAGTGCTATTCAAAAAAGAAGAAACTAATCATTTTTGCAAAAGAAGAAAACTAACTAGATTACAAAGTCCATTTGTCCATTAATTTTTGTTAACTCTTATTCTTAGTGCAAATATATGTTTCTATTTCATATTTACCGTTTATTCTAACTATAAAACTGTTTATGTTTGGAAGTACTTCATTCCTTCTGCAACTCCATAAATATATTTTTGCCATAAGTATAAGATAATTACGCAAGGGGCATTCAGAAGATAAAAAGCCGATCCAAATTTCCTTTAATGATAGGTGAACTAGTTGTTTTCGCATGCAAAATAATATGATTCAACACATTTTCAGAATGAATTCGAATAAGGGCAGTCCCAAAAGAAATGTCTAATAGTTTCTGATTCCCTTTTGCAAAAAGAGCACAAGTTGTCTGTCCTGTACCCAATCTTGAACAACTTTGAGTTGGTAAAAAGTATAGAATTGAGTATTTTAAATTGAAAGACTTTGGCATAAGGTTCAAACGCGATAGAATGGGTCAAAAGAAATGCTTTTCTGAGATCGTCATTAGATATAGATTAAAATCCAACTTCAGTTTTCGTGCATAATTTGGGAGACAAGCCTTCTTTTTTATCAAAAAAGGATAATAATCTTTTGATGTCGAAAACGCCGCCATTGATTTTAAAGGAAGGTATTGCATTAAAGGTACTCGAATCCGAGCGATTAAGAACTTTTAACTTCGTTGGTATTGAATGTCTCATACTAGTCCATTCAAGGAAGTTTGTCTTTTTAACATTTTTTGCGATCTGTTCCTAGGATTCAGTATTGCTGAGATCAAAATGTAAGTCTCCTATTTCCCAGATACCAATGTCGTAATATTTCTTGTAGAAAAAGGGCTTGTCGTCTATTCTAAAGTCTCGATTATTCCAAATTACATAATGCCAATCGTTATTTAGAGCATTACCTTCTCGGAGTTCCGACCACCATTTAAGTAGTTCTAGATAAAAGGTAGAGGTAATTTGAAGATCCTTAACATTATAATTGCATTTAAAAAGCATTAGACCTCCAGAATCTTTCAAGATGTATTCAAGGTAGTTTTTCCACGCGCCTGAGTTGTCACTAAATATTCGTTTAAGCCAGGAAAGACGGAGAGATTTTATCAAACTTTCAATATCCACCATTTTGATGCCTCCTTCTTCATAATTATTTATTGTTGAGGCTCTTGTTACTTTATCTTTACCTTTCCATAAAAACGTATATAATATATGATTTAAATCCTTGACAATGTGTTCCGGAGTAGGTAACAAAGAGGAGGCGTAAACGATCTTTGGTATAAGAAGTGATTTGATTAGAGTAACCTTTCCGTAGACAGAAAGCCCCCTTGAGGACCAGATATTGATTAGTTTTTTAATGTCGACGATTTTCTCTGAGAAATTCTTTGAGTGAGACAACTTATGGTCATAGGTGAAAAAGACACCAAGGGCTTCTCTTGGCTCTGTGGGCCATTTGATTCCTAGAGGTTTACTTTCACTGTTCTTCGGTGATCCTATCCACATTCCTTCGGTCTTTAAACTATTTACCTTTAAGCCAGAAAGCTCCTTGAACTTACCAAGCAATTGGAAGAGTTTTTGAGCTGACTCTAAATCAGCGAGTACAACAGTAGTGTCATCAGCGTATTGAAGAAGTTTGGTCTCTTCTTGATTTATTACTATTCCTTTTATTTCTTCATTAGCTCTGATGGGGATCGCTAAGGTTTCCACGGCCAAAAGAAAAAGATACGGGGAAGAGGGTCGCCCTGCCTGACGCCACGTGTCAGTTCACAATAGTCTGAACACAACTCATTATTTACCACACAACTTTTAATATTTGCGTAAAAAGTTTTGATCCAGCGCTTAAAATTTGGACCAAAATTAAAGACATCTAGACATCTAGACATTCTAAAGAATCAAACGCTTTTTCAAAATCAATAAATATCAACAGACCAGGTATATTTTCCTTATCTGTTAAATCCATGATCTCGAAGATCTACCTAACCGTTTCACCAATATAGCGTTCTTTTACATAACCAGTTTGATTATGTTGGATTATAGAAGGTAGTACATTTTTAATTCTGTTGGCAATCACTTTTGATATTATCTTAGCGTCAGCATTGACAAGTGATATGGGCCTCCAATTTTCTATTAATGAACGATCTTTGAATTTCTTTTCTATTAAAGTGATTACAGCCTGCCTTTGGTAATTAGACATTTCTTCTTTATCAAAGGATTCATTGACACAATCTATGAAAGGTTCACTAATTAGATCCCAGCAGCTTTTGTAAAATTCAATGGGGAGACCATCATTCCCTGGAGATTTCTTGTTTTGAAAGTTTCTATAATTATCCTACATTCCTTGGTAGAAATTCGTCCTTCACACGATTGTCTTTGTTCTTCTGATAGTTTAGGAATATTTAAACTATTTAGAAGTGCCTCCATGGAATCCGAAGCCTCTACAGAATCATTAGTTTTGTATTGGTTTTGATAAAATCTTTTTAGTTCGGAGAGTATCCGAAATGGGTCTGGGGTTATTGAAGCACTTATTAACAATTTTCGGATGTGTTTTATAACATGGTTTCTCTTTTCTAAATTTAAAAAGTATTTAGTACTCCTTTCACCATACTCGTGCCAACGTGCTCTTGCCTGTATGACGATTCCTTTTACTTTTTCCTCATATAAAAGCCGTTCTAATTTTTCTTTTATTTCATCTAATCGCAATCTATTTGAGGCAGTAGGGTCATTTTCAAACAACCTGTTAGCATCTTTAAGTTCTTGTTGAATCCGCTGCTTTTTCTCATATTTAAGTTTGGCTTTTTTTGGAGTAGCTCATAGCGTGCAATCTAACATTGTATTTGATCCAGTCCCAAACGAAGCGTTTGTCAGACAGATCAATTTCACCTTCTTGTTTCCATTTGGGTATATTAATTCATAACTGTTCTAGGTAGTTTTCATCCTCTAAGAGCGAAACATTCATTTTCCATATACCAGGACCTTTTATCTCTCCAATGTCTCCTAGAAATAAGGTTATTGCAGCATGATCTGTGCGTATTGCAGGCTGTATTTCAGTAGCGTTTATAAAATGACAGAGATTGTTAGAGATAAGCCAAAAATCTAGACGACAGAGAACTGTTGGGGATTTTTGACTCCAAGTGTAACTTCTTTTACGTTTGAGGGTTCTTAATTCTCCAAATATCAACTAAGTCCAGTTCGCTTTGTAAAGTTTCAATACTATCAATCGCTGCTGTTCTTGGAATCATGGCACCAAGAAGAGCAACAAATATTTTTTGAATTTTAAAAAGGAAACGCCAAGCCTGTTTTCATGAACAGTTCAGGAGTCAAGCGTCTAATTTTTCTTCTCATGAATAATTTTTATACTACATACACACCAAGTTAGATGCTGTAGTCTCTTAAAAACTAATTTGGCAATTTTTATCCGTTTGAGCAAAAACTTTGCAGGAAAATAGAACAATAGAACGATATTCCATAATGGCATGTTTTTGTGTCTTGGATTTCAACCGTTTTTGGCGGAAAAATTACTTAATAACTATGACAGCAAAAATAGTCCATAATAATAACTCTCACATTCCAAACGAGGCAAAGTACAAAACTTTTTTGTGTGGGTGAAAATAATTTTCAATTGCATGAGAATGATAAAGCCTTTTCACATCAATGGCTTCGCACTAAACTTCGCTTTAAAACAGTCTTAAGGTAACTTGGAAATGGTAGTTTTCGACCTTTGGCAATTTTGGAAGAGTTTTCAGGGGTGAACTAAAATCTGAAAAAATAATTGAAGGCTCATTTGGTTGTTACAAATAAGCATTGACAGTCAAAGATCCCTGATGTTTCTAAAAGTGGTAACAAAATGGCGAGAAAGAAAAAATAGTCAGCTTAAAAATTTCCCAACTACTTGTAATGAGCTTTAAAAGCATAATATATCTCTCTATATATATATATTTAGTATATACACACTCGGTGATCTCGGTGATTTAAGCAATCTGATTGTTTTGCTATCTCGGACTATCCAACAATATTCACCTCCTAGCGAGTGGATAATGTGTGAGCTCGGTGTTTTTCCCATGTTTTTAGAGAACGATCTTTTAAAAGTCGACAAAATCCTAGGGCTGACTTCTTTTAAGGCAAGAAAAGACTTGGAAGGATTCAATATGGCGTTTTTCAATTTACTGTAGCTGAGTTTTGTGCTCGATGGATTATACTGTTTACAACTCCCGTGTATTCGCCTAGAAGAAGCCATTTCGTGAACTCAGCGTTTTCTAACAAGAAAATTTTGGCTCAAAACTCGAAGTTTATTTATGAAAAACAACTTTAAAAGGAAATGTTTGCAGAAATTCTACGTTTCAAGTAAATAGGAAAAAGAATAATACAGGAAGACGACGTCTTACCTCGAGCAACCGAGCTGCCATTTTTGTCAGCACTTCATGCGAAGAACGACACAACAAACCCTTTTGGCCATAAACCAGGCGAGTCAACAGAAAGCAACAAAGCTCTACTTTTCTTCTCAGGTAAGGAAACAGTTCAAACTTTTAGCAGTTCCATTTAAGGCATTACGCTGTTGTTTGCGAAATAATAGACTTGT